GTTCTAACGCTTTCACTTTCAGTCTACGAGGGTACGTGGACAAAACTCTCCCCTCTGTTGCTATGCATCACCATGATCTTGCGTGTGCGTAGGAATTTTTTTGAAATTACTACGTTCCCCAACAGAGTTATACTATGAGTGAGGAGGCAACTAGAGATATTCTTGCTTGTAAGGATAGAGATGATCTAGAGATACATTCCTTGATGACATGTGGTCGCCCAATGCTTCATTCTCTTGATGTAAAGCTCGATGCGCGCCGAAAAGTTGGTTTTTGGTGACGTAGTTGTTCGGTTCCTCTTCTTGCTCGATGAAGAGTGGGTTGGTAGAAGTACTTGGCCTATCCATCATATCAAGCAAATATGTGAGCGGGGGAAAGGGAAGAACTAGATCAAATGTACCTTATCTGATGTTGAAGATGGATCAATGATCATCCAAGTTGGTATTATGGAAATAGCACAATTGGTACCGGATCTTGTCTATTCTCACACCTACACAAATAAAGCTTTTGGAGTAGCTTGGTGAGGATGGTTGCACAAAATTTATGCAATTACTAGAAAGATTCAATAATGTTGAAAGAGATTCACAAATTTGCAAGTGAGACAAGTAGACCAATAGCAATGAGTGGCACACGGAAACACACACACACAGAGAGATAGATAAATGGGGTCGTGCAACCAAGAAATGAGCTGAAAATATGGGTTCCACGAAAAATGCTCTTGTTGTAGAACTCTAGAGAGACGCTAGCACGATTGCTCAATAAGCGGATACGTAACTTGTGCACAACCTATAAGAGGCAAAGCGTAACGACTTTTATCCCATTTATGCTATGTATGTATGGCTTCCGTGATGCTCTCACGATGATCCAAGATGACCGAGTATAAATTGATATGCAATGTGGCGATGCTATGGCTATTGCTTACAAGCTCTTTGTTTTCTCTTTGCTTAAAAGATTTTCTTTCCTTTGGCCACTTATGCAAAATGCTCAAACCAAGCTAGCAATGGTGTATATGAGGGGGGGGGGGGTTATGACACAAGAGATGATACGATGATATATGCATGCTATGATAGTTATGCGGAACGTGTATCACTAAAGTGCACAGGTAAAGTTGCCCGGCAATACTCAATGGCTAGTCTCGATAGGAAAGTGAAGCAAAATGGGCTCGGGGTTAACAATGCAATGGCAAGGGAGATATATAATGATGTCGTCGAGGTTACCTTCCTTGCTTGCGATTGATGATGTCAAAATGGTGAAGTGGTCATTGTCGATGTCGAGGCCGTGGCGAATTTGAGCGGCGGTGATGTCGATGACGAACCGTCCCTAAGTAGCCGAAACACATGAGGACACGGAGAACTGCGACTCAAAATCTCAAATGGCAAATGAAAAATGTTAGTAGCGGAAAGTGTGGTGGTGTTGTAGAGGTTCTCTGAGGTTGTGGAATGGAAATGATGGATTTTGGAGGTGGCATTGTGGAAGTGTGGGCGGTGGCTGAAAAACTCCGTTGAAAAAATCAGTTTCGTCAAGGTTCGTCGGACGCCCAGAGGTTGTCAGACGACCCGTGTCTGTCGGGCGTCCAATATCGTTCAGATGTCCTGTGACTGGGGAAAATCTGTTAGTGATGAACTCGAGGATTTCATGGAAAAGGCAAAATTTGGTGCCCAAATTGGACGAAAATTGTGGATGGATGTGATGAGAAGGATGAGAAGGATGGGGAAAGCTAGATCCGACTGAAATGCATCAAATCCATGGATCAAAATCAACAAAACATCATCAAACCAACAAATCACCAAAAAAATGGATGGCTATTTTTGTGGGGATTTTTGAAATTGGACAAAAACACATAAAATCAAGCTAGAAAGTGGGGGTAGGGACTCCAAATTCGTGATCAACCTTGGCTCATAATACCAAGATGATGTAGGGTGGAACCCTAATGGCCGATCTTTCATGATTTGGAGGGGGTCCCTAGAAGAACACGAAGAATACAAGAGGAAGAACACTCAAATAGAAAAAATCCAATCACACATGTCCTAAATCCACATACATGAAGGGAAGATACAAGATCCAAAGTCAACAAAGGGAGATACAAAGAGGAACTACTTCATCCCAATCCTTGAAGGAAAGAGGACTTGAATCTTTGGAGGATCTTCCCACAAGGGGGTCTTGAATCCACTTGGGGGATCTTCTCACATTGAGGCCTTGATCTCCATGGGAGTAAGGATAAGTGGATGAGCAAAGCGCTAACTCTATCTTGAGCTATCACAATGATAACCCTAAAACGTAGGAGGAGGATTATATATAGTCTAGGAGGCGAAGGGGTGGGCCTTGGCCTGAGTCACTGTGCACATGCAGGCGTCGGACGTCCGATAGTTACCGGTCATCCCGTGGCTCGCGAGCGTCCGGTCATCCAGAGGGCGCCGGATGTCCGGTGATTTGGCTCTGGACAGGTGTCGTCGGATGTCCGGTGGACGTCGGACGTCTGGTGTCTGGGTCGTCCGAAAGGCTTCAGACTTCTGTTAATTTCGCACTAGACTGGTGATGCCGTATATCCAGAGTCTGTCGAATGTCCAGACGCTGGAGGGTGTTAGATGTCCAGTATCTGTCGGTCGTTAGTGTGTTGTACCGTCTGTCGTGTTGGCTTTCTGGCTGGCTGACCCTCCAGGCATCGGACATCCGATAAGGGACGGTCGTCCGGTGGCTGTGACATCTTGTCAACCCTTCCTCTTGGTGCTCGCACTTGGTGCCATCGCCATCTTGTTTGTTGTGGTAGTAGCTTCATGGCCTTCCTCCAAGTACCTGATCACACATAAGGTCTTCACTTGAGGTAGTAGCCATGTCTCACATGTGAAATCCTCCTTCCCAAAATCTTGGGCATATTATGCAATCCCATAATACAAGGCGCGCAGTTACAACCCCACTAACGATAGCTAATTTTGTGGGGGGGAAGAAAACACGAACGAGCATCTCGTGGAGTTACCTCTCATCGTTTGAGATTGGATCGGTCAACAAAGAGTGGGTCAAAGGAGATCGTGCATGCTCCGTTCTTTTTTTTTCAATTACCTCATGTGATGGCTCACGTAACCATCAATGTGTTAACTTTCATGCTAATACCTAATACGCCCAAGATTTTGGGAAGGAGGGAGTGTGTAAGTTCGAAGAGGAGCGAGTTCACCTTAGCTTCGATAGCCCTTACTCGAGCTCTAATCATTGGTCCACGTGGTGTCGTGGGAGACGATGGTAGGTCCATAGGGATGACCGTAGGATGCTCCGCATCACTATATCTCTTTCTTTCCCAGTCTAACGGATTTACTTGCCAATAAGAAACAAATTATCCAAGGGTAATTTTGTCATCATATCTCTATAATTGTGTGCCTTGATCACCGTGCCCAAAATAATACACCTTACATAAAGAAACGGAGGAAGTAGTTACTAGACTACTAGTGATATAATTACCATACTAATGACATAGCTACCAGGGTATTCATACTACAGTTACCAATTGTAGCAGTTATGCAATGTGTTATAGTTACCAACATGACTATTATGTAAGTTACCGGGCTGCACGTGTTATAGTTACCAACATGACTGTTATGTAGTGCTAATCAAATACTCCCTCCGTCCCATAATGTAAGACGTTTTTTACACTACACTAATGTGAAAAAACGTCATACATTATGGGACGGAGGGGTTACGGGGCTGCTCATGTTAAAGTTACAACTTGACTACTAAAGTTATCAGGACACTAAGCTATCATTATCAGACTACCAATGCTAAAGTTATCAACATAACAATTGTACTTTCGGTCATGACTGTTATGGATTTATTACCACTTACCAGACTGCTAATCATATAATTATGAGGCTGCTCATGTTAAAGTTATCACTTGACTACTAAAGTTATCAGGATACTAGGCTATCATTATCAGACTACCAATGCTAAAGTTATCAACATAACAATTGTACTTTGGGTCCCTATAAGGGGTTTATTACACCCCCTTGTACTTTAGGTCAAACTTTAACCTTAACCATAGATTTGATTTGCAAAGTACTCCCTCCGTCCCAAAATAAGTGACTCAGAGTACAAAGTCTGAGTCACTTATTTTGAAACGGAGGAAGTATAATACTTACTCTTTCCTACGATATAAGGCCTCCTTTGGTTTGGAGGAATTTTGTAGGATTTTCATAGGATAGGATTTCTATAGGAAAAATTCCTTTAGAGCTCTTTGGTTTGTAGGAATGAAATCCTATTCCTATGGAGGAATTCTTCCTATCCTCCACATTTCATAGGAAAACAAACATTAGCCTAGACTCAATGGAAAAAATCCTATGGTGTGAATCAAAGGGCATCTCTTTTTCTATTCCTATTTATAGGATTTGAGATGCATGTCATCTCATTTCTATGACTTTCCTATTCCTATGATTTTCCAATCCTATGAACCAAAGGAGGCCTAAGATGTTATCACAACCAATGTACTCATATATTATTAATTGTAAGTAACATCTTACATTATGGGCGGAGAGAATGTCATAAAATTTATACTGTTGGATTCGTATTGGAAAGAAGTTTTCATTTATATAGTTTTGTTACATATAACAAATATTTTGTTACGCTGTATGGTCGAACTTTGGCTCAAAGTGTGAGGGGCCTAACAAACACGGCCAGAGGGGAATTGCATTCCATAAATATATCGTCTTAATCATGATTTATAGTCAGTTTTCTCCTAAAACTGACTACACCCGAGGGCAATTTCTAAAGTCCCAACTACTAATTACAATGCTCATCAGAAGGCCGTTCCCTGGAATGCTCGTCAATTTCTTCCAGGGAGGAACATACCAACAATAAATGAATCCCACTCAATCCCGTCCACACCAGTTAGATAACAACGAGCATCTGCTTCCAAGTATTGCATTTCCCTGTTGCAAATTGCAGATCCTGGCAGAATGGAAGCAAATCTAAGCATTTTCGGATGATGAGTCTCCCGAGGATTTGACTCCTTAGACCAAGTTTATTCTTCTCCTTCAACTAGTCTTCCACGTACCCATCTCATCTTAGACTTATTAGCAGGTGAGGACACATTCTCTAGTGGCTCTGCTGAAATAAATTCTGTTGTATCTGCTGCAATCCGGTCGATCTGGTCGTTATTGACCACTTGCTCACTGATACATAGATCATTTGTTCCAAGATTTCCGTTCACATCTTGAGCTGTTGAAAAAGCTGAAGGAAGCAAATAAGCTCTTTCCATGGAGTTCTCTATCCTCTGAAACATACTGAGTTGTTCCTTTTCACCTAGTGCAGACACATCAAAATAGAAATCCATGCCATTAACAGTCCTTGGAGGTAGCTTCATTCCATTTACAGATTTGTTCTCTTGTTTAATAAGGTCATTTTGGTTCTCCAACTTGTGCAGTTCCGAGACACCTGAGTCATCCGAGGTATCATCAGAAGAACTTTCTGCTGGCCCATCATTATCATCAACACCTTCGAGTGACATTCTTGCCTCTGTAACAAGCTTTCTAGCTTCTATAAGTGATGCTTGAGCAAATGGAATTTTCGCTGCAACAGGCTCAAGAGCATTTGCAGCTTTCTCGGCTTCTACAATGAGTGACCTGATGGTAAAAGAATAAGAAAACAACTTACAATGAGACAGTTAAATTTTAAAATGTCTTGCATGTATAGATGGCATGTTAGTTTTCTGACAGGAAATAGTGTAAACTAGGTATGAAGTAAAAGCACCCCGGAAAATTCAACTGCAAGTGTGATTGCAGTGCACTAATGCGATATATTCGTATGTTTTTCTTTCCATTCTTTGTTTTTCCGGAAAAAACTTCCGATCCATTCATCAAACATCATGGCAGTACAAAGAACACAAGAAATAATAAAAATTACATCTATGCCCGTAGACCACCTAGCGACGACTACAAGCACTGGAGCGAGCCGAAGACGCGCCGCCATCATCGCCCCTCCCTCACCGTTGACGGGCAAACCTTGTACTGACATGTATATTGTTTGGATTTTCCAAAGACTTTTTCACAGATATGTGGTCTTGATTTTTCCCAATAGTAACAAACGGACTAGATGCGTCATGTGTGTAACAGCCGAGAGTAATACCCTCATTAAATTTTGCTTGTTAATTTATTTATTTTGGCATCATCATGTCGTCATGCTTAAACTTGAAATGAGGTAGCTAAAACCCTCAATACATTAAACCAAACCCAAACCATAATTACTTTTATCATTTTATTTTATTAGGGAATTACAAAACCATTTCCCTTTTTGGTGTTTTGCATGATAGCCTTTCAAACTTTGCACATGGCCTTTCTACAATACTTAGAGGCTACAAAGCATGGATACGGCAGAAACAGCCGAATTGCCGTCCTAGTACGGGGGTATACGGGGACACGCGCGGATACGCCAGGATACACGTATCCCGCAGTATCCCATCTTTTCCGAATTAAAAAAAGGGGAAAGAAATCGGGATACGGCAGATACAGTGTGGACACGGTGGGGACTCGAGGCTGCAGCTGCCTGGACTCGCTTCTCTGGTCGCCGGCTCGCCGACGCCGTTTCCCCCAAGCCCAGCTCTTCCCCCGACGAAGAACACCCATCAAGCAGAGAGGAAGATGGCAAGGTGTTCGAGGACAAGGAAGAAGGACCAGGCGGGGAGAAAGATGGGGACTGCAGCCAGCAGAGAGGAAGAAGATATAAACGGCGGCGCAGTCTTTTCTTCTGCTCTCTGCAGCTCTCAGGCGGTGGAGGAAACGAGAAGAGAACGGCTAGAGGAGCTGACTAGTCTAGGGTTTCAGGAACTGGACCTTATATGGGATCTGAGTGGAGAGCTACATGGCCTGAGTGGAGGGTTCGTATGGACATAGGCTGCCCCAAAGTCTTTTCTCAATAGAAATGAGGCAACATATATCCAGTAATTCCTTTACAAAAAACATATATCCAGTAGAAAATCTCTGAACTAAAAATTATCATTAAATCTTTATTACATGCCGGTATTTTTTTCTATATATTTATATACCCCGCCGTATCCCCGAATGGCTGTTTCTAAAAAATGCCGTATCCCACGTCCCAGTATGCGTATCCCCGTCTTTCTGTCCCCGTGTCCGTGCTTTTTAGCTTAGAGGCTACCCAATTTGTTTCATGATTTTATCCCTAACCTATCACCTACATTTAGTTCAAACCCAAAATTGATTTTAAATGGATTAACATTCCAGAAAATATAAACATGATTCCAAAAATTATGAATCTTTTTGTGAGGCCTTGATATATATTCCAGAGAAGGTTCACAAAAAATTGCATAAAGATTGGATCTAATTTGAACCTCCAAAACATTTTTAAACAGAAGATATTCCATTTTTTGTAAAAGAAAAAGAAAAAGGAATTCTTTTAAGTCACACAGCCCACGGCCCAAATACCCCTTCGCACTGGTTATTCCCTACCTCTATGGCAGCACGATCCCACGATCACATTGACGGCAATGTCAATTTCACGGGCTGAACAGCGTCGCCTTGGCCTATATAGCTGCCCCCGACCTAGCCCTAGCCACCCTCTACCCTCCCTCGACGTTGCCGCTCTCCTCCTCCACCTACAGAGGCCCCTATTTTTCGCACGTCCTTTGACCGATCCAAGCACACCGTTGTGTTCATGGTGAGCTCCTATAATGAAGCCCCCTATTTTCTGCAATGTTGGTAGCTCTAGGACCCTTAGCGTGTATCCAGTCTCGTCCTTACTACCCGGGTCCATCTTTCTCGACCTTTTCTGTGAAGGATACCTCTTTCCTCACTTTTCCCCGACACTTCTATCACTAATGTTGAGTCCTTGTCCAGCCATCCCACTCTTCTGCTAATTCGACTGTTGTAGATACGACACCGTCATCTCCTATGGTTTCCTCACCTCACTTGTCACGGGATCTGCACCTTCATTGCCAGTGGTTTCTCCGTCTCCATCACCTGAGCCTATCCCGATGATTCCTCGTATTCTTCCATCTTTTCCTCAGTATTATACACGTCGTTCACGTGTTGTGGATGCGTCTACTAATGTGTCATCTTCCTTGTGACAGCCTACTTATGCCTTACGTACTCACCCCTTGACTGCTATGGTTTTTCTAGCGCTGGCGCTGCAACTTCTTATCGTGATGTTCATTCCAAATGGCAGCTTACCATAGCAGAGGAGATTGTTGCTCTTGAGCTCACCGACATGTAGGAACTTGTTTCTATTCCTCCATGTGCTCGTCTCGTCACTTGTAGCTGGGTCTATAACTCACACGAATGGTTCTCTTGAGCGCTACAAAGCTCGTCTTGTAGCTCATGTCTTTCAACAGGAGCATGGTCGTGATTATGATGACTTCTGCTCCTATGCCCCATATGATCATTGTTCGCACACTTCTTGGCGTGGCCTCTATTAGCCATTGGTCTGTCTCAGCTCGATGTCAAGAATGCCTTCCTTAATGGTGAGTTGCGTGAGGAGGTTTACATGCAGCCACCACATGGGCATTTTGTTCCTGATGGTATGGTATGTCATCTCCGTCGCTCTCTCTATGGCCTTAAGCAAGCCCCTCGTGCTTGGTTTGAGCGTTTCGCCTCTGTGGTGATTGTTGCTGGTTTTTCGACAAGCACTCATGATCCTGAGTTGTTTGTCCACCTTTCTTCTCATGGTTGGACTCTTCTCCTATATGTTGATGACATGATCATCACTGGCGACGACCCTAAGTACATTGCCTTTGTGAACGCATGTCTTAGTGAGTAGTCTATTAAGTCTGATCTTGGCCCTCTTCACTGTTTTCTTGGGAGTGAGGTTTCTACTACCTCTGATGGCTTTTTTATTTCCCATGAGAAGTATATCCATGATCTTGTCCATGTTGCTCTTACTGATAAGCACACCATTGAGACTCCCATGGAGCTCAATATTCACCTCACCGTGGTGACCCCTTGTCTGATCTGGCGTTGTATTGTCATCTTGTTGGGAGTCTAGTCAATCTAGTTGTCACTCGTCTACGTATCTCATATATTGTTCATATTTTGAGTCAGTTTGTTTTTGCTCCCACTTCGGCTCACTATAGTCACTTTCTTCGTGTTCTTCAATATCTTCGTGACGCGCTCTCTCGCCGTCTTTTCTTTCCGCTCTCCAGTTTGTTACAGCTTCAAGACTATTCGAATGCTACATGGGCTAGCCATGCTCAGATCGCCGTTCACTTTTTGCTTACAGTGTTTTTCTTGCTGGTTCTCTCATTTGCCTAGAAGACGGAGCAACAAATTGCAGTTTCCTGCTCGAGTGCAGAGGCTGAGTTGCGAGCTATGGCTCTTTTAACGGCAGAGATGACTTAGTTATGGTGATTACTTCAGGAGTTTGGTGTGTCTGTTATTACACCTACTACACTCTTGTCTGATAATACACGTGCTAGAAGTATTGTGCGCGATCCTATGAAACATGAGCTCGCCAAGCATATTGGTGTTGATGCTTCTTTTGTGCGCCCTCGTGTGCAGGATCAGGTTATTGCTCTTCAGTATGTGCCTTCCAAGTTACAGTTGGCGGATTTCTTTACGAAGGCCCAAACTAGAGCCGAGCATGGATTTTATCTCTCCAAACTAAGTGTTGTGGATCCACCATGAGTTTGAGGGGTGGTGTTAAGAGTTATATTATTTTCCATTTATAGCCTGATTTATTTTCCCTAAGGTATGAGGGGTTTCATGCATATTTACCACCTCTACATGTATATATATCGGCCTAGGTCCACCTGGAAATACAAGTTGCATATTTCCTAACAATATCTACTTGATGCTGCTATGGGTAGTTGAACCTGGCTCTGATACATTTATGTTGTGCTATGGATATACTTATGTTACTATGTAATGAAGGCAAAGGTGGGAGGCCATGTTTTATGCAATCGGTGTTTTGTTCCACTTGAGCCGACACTAGGACCCGAGTTTTATCTTGATCCAAGACCGAGCTTACTCAACCTCTCGCTGGGGAATTTATGGGACCCATTGCGACCTAGACCTAAACCTCTAACCTCTCCATGGGCCACATAGTTCGGGCTTTCCGTTACGTCCAGTTGAGTTGCGAATGAGATATGTTTATGATGATGATGTTGTTAATGTTATAGCTAGCCGTTGCATACATATAGGCAAGGTTGTCAGAACCGTGATTCTGAACTGGATCGAAGCTTTGATGGTAGGATCGCAAATCATAGAATCTTCACTATCAGAATCGTAGAAACGTAGATACTAATAATCAAAATCATAGAACCATAGGGGTTCATTTGGATCGTAAAGTGGTAGAATCGTACAATAGAATCATGATTCTGACAACCTTGCATATAGGAGTGTGGCGCGGCAACCGTTTATCTTGCTGCTCTAGCCGCTCACAATGGTTGAGTCTGTTTCGGAGCATCGGCTAGACTCACAATTCAGGCACAACTCAGTTGGGTGGCTCCTTGGACTTGTTTGCAACATATGGGAAGTGTCGTGGCCACTCTCCCTCCGCCGACACACCCCGTGTGTGCTATTCTCGAGGGCATCAAGGGGTTGTTTGGTTCTCGCCAGTGTCGGCCATGCCAATGTTGGCGAGCCAAATACTTGGTGCAGGATCTGGGGGCCAAAATTTGTCAATGATTTGGCGTCAAAGTGAACTGGAGGAGCCTGGGTGGGCTGGGCGCACCAAAAAATTGGTGCCCATCCCAACGGGACGCCAAGCCTGATCAACGACCAAAATTTTGGATCGGCAGGTGAGGGTTGTAATCCAAACAGCCCCTAAGAGCGTTTGGCGTTTGTTAGGGTAAATTGGTACGCCCCTGCAGGGTTAAATCTATTCGAATAGCCCTGTCCACGGTTATGGACGACTTCAACATTTTGTACTTAATCATAGAACAACTTCAACAAATATTTAATAAACTTGCCGCCGTGTGAGCATTGTTTGTAAAGCGTCCCTCAGAGCGCCCTCCAGGCTCAAAAGCATCCAGCTCACTTTAGACATGTGTCTAAGGCGTGCCTTAGACATTAAAGCGTCTGAAGCGCCCGCTTAGGCGTCCTGATTGGCGCTTTAGTACAGAGAGGACGCCATAGACTTGCCAAGCAGGGAACAGAGATTTCTGGCGGGGAAAAAGGGCTGGGCGGGAACACAAGGGCAGGAAAACTGGGCTCACATGTGAAACAGTTACAGGAGAGGAAAGAGAGAGAGAACCAAAACCAGGGCGTGCAAATCTCCAGGCTTTCAGCTCTCTCCTCTCCTCTGGCAGCAGCTTCCGCCTCAGATCTGCACCAGCTTCCTCCTCTCGCTCCTCTTCTCCGGCTGCAGCAGCTCCCCCCCTCCTCTTGCGCAACCACAATTGCATGGCTCCTGCCCTCTCTTCTCCCCCTTCCCCTCCCTTTGCTCTTTCTTACATGCTCAGATCTGCACCAGCTTGTCATGCCTTTCCTGCTCTGTTATGTGTTATGCTATACACAGCTCCTCTGCTGTTAGGTGCTGCTGCTACCTCTCTTATAGTAGTTGGCTAGTTGCTTACTGCTTAGTGGATGGATTAGAATAATGGCTACTAATGCATATGTGCTCACTGGTGGATTAGAAGCAAGGTACGTATGTCTCACTAAATGGTACTCTATTCTACTGCCCATCAGGTTCAGAGTCTGTCTAAAGTGTCACCTCACTTTACGCTTTAGCGCTTAAGCAGTGAGGCGCCCCCTCAGCGCCTCGCTTCCCTTTACCGCTTTAAAAACATACGGTGTGAGTGCCTTGCGGATTCTTCCTTGTGGGAGATACAAGGTGGAATGAAAGGCAGTGCACCCTCTTTCCTTATCTCTATTAGACGCAAGTTGTAGTGTATCTATAGGAGCAAACCACATACCCTTTACTTTGAGACGATGCATACTCAGTGTAGATCTAATGTAAGTCTTGCAGAGTACGTCATGTACTCACCCTTGCTATTCAAACCAAGTTGCTGCAGAGGACTTCACCGACATTGAAGGTGGCTACTTCGGAAAACTTACTGACGACGAGTTAGATAGAAGGTCCCAGGTGGCAGTCTGAGCCTTGGGAGGGCCTTTCGTTTATCTCCAACCTCTTGGGCGCATTTGATATTTTTGCCTATAACCAGACTATTTACTTCGTTGAATGATGTAATGTTGGATCATGTTGATCTCTAGTTGTAACAATAACTTAGTAGCTCATGTGAACTCCATACCTTATATATGTTATCGTTCGAGTTCTATGATGATACTTATTACGTTTCAACCCATAGCGTGTCATAGTGCGTGTATGTACGAAAGTACACTTTGCGGGTAGGATATGGCTTCTATTCTACACCTTGTAGGCAATTGCACTAAACTTGGAATAGTACCGAATCCGGGGTCCGACAATGTGGCTGTTATTAAGCTTTGACTACTTTTCATAAATTAAACACATTGGATAGTGCAACAATCAAACAGAAATTATAAGGGGGAGCTTGGCCAGCATTGCTGGGTTATTTTGTCTTATTTCCATATTTGTCAAAACTAGTCAAAGTCTAGTTGAAAGAACACATCAAAGTGCAGTAACAAAATTTGAAGCACGGAAAATCAATAGCTGATATTTGTTAGCAAAGATGTGCCTCATGCAGTTTACCCTTTTCTAATTGCAAATAAGACAACATACCTGGCTCTTTCAATAGCCTCTTTCTTCTCTATTTCCAGTGCTGTCCTTTGGGCTCTAATCTTCGTTATCATCTCTAGTTTCTCACCTGCCATAGGATCTTTGTAAGGAGTTGCACTTTTCTTTCTCTTAACTGGAGCAGTTTTTGCATGTGCATCGTCCAAGCTGACAGCTCTGTGTTGAATAGATTTCTTTTTTTCACGCTTTGCACCTGGTTCTCTCGGAGTTCTTTGTTTACGCGGTACTTTAGATCCAGAAGATGTTCCATGATAGCTATTAATTGCACTGCAAACACGTTCACGGTATTCCTGCAAGAAAATCAAATGTTTCTACCATTAGTTTATGCAATATGAATAAGCCATATATTGCCCCGAAGACATTGGAATGAGAGGATGAGAACCATGAAATATGTTCAGCAAGGCATAGATAATCTTACTCGATCCAACCACTTCGCAGCAATGGCTTCTGCAATTTTTCTCCTCTGCTCTGGGGTTTTTGGCGCTCTTCTATTACCTGTCGGCCTAGGCATTGATCTTCTTTGCTGGACTTTCTCCAACCATTCCTGCCGCAGTTGCTCAGTCAACATTTTATGTGAATTCCATTGGAAGGCAACTCCACCAGCAAAGCCCTTCCTAGCTGCATTTGCTATCATTTCCCGCCACTGCACAAAGCAGCCATCCTGAACCATTAGCTTCTGTAGACGCAAGCTCCACCCACGCCTCACTCCCAATGATATCTTAATTTTGGTCTCTTCACTGTATCAAGTACAAACAAAAAAAATAGCAATTACTACAAAAGCATCTACAATTAAATCGATGTGGGTAGTTCTAGAAATCATGAAACTAAGGAACTGCAGTTAACTTTTTTTTAAAGAACTGCAGTTAACTTTTTTTTAAAGAACTGCAGTTAACTTATTACAGAGTTTAGACTTGTGGGTTGTGGCACAGTTGCAGGTTTGGATATGGCCAAGGGGAGTATGAAGTGGCATGTGCAAACATTGCGAAATCAAGCGAACGAGCTCTTCGGATCAGCTCGTTATAGTGCATGAGCTTGTGTAGGCCACGCTCCATCTCTTGAAGTGTATGTGCAAACACTTGAATCATGCCGAAACTGAGACAAGCTCGAGTAGCTTGTCGAGCTCAAGCTATTTGAACATCCCTATGTTTGAGGAACAAACTTGCCAACAGAATAATAAGTCAGATCAAGAATCAGTACAATACGTATGCACAGAAGTACATGGCCCCACCATGGCACTTCCCAATCATGGGATGAGATCTCCAATCTCCATGCTAGGCAGTCTACTTTCGGAATTAGGGAGATATGTTTTAGCATAGGCCGTGAGCCAATTAAGATAAGATCTATGATATGTTCTAAGTCGTCACATGCCATCATGATATCATCATCAAGCTCCATAACAGCTCTCGTCTTTATTTTTTCATCTATGTTGAATCTATTGTTCAGAGAGTTCTTATCTTCAACTCTGACCCTGACAGGAACAGCTGACTTGAATTCATTTTGCACTGGGGGGCGGCCTTTATTCCAGATAACCACAATCTCCCTCACTGATGCACATTTGGAGTAATGCTCCACAAACATCTTCAGATTCCAAAGACGGGCATCATATGTCATAGTTAACAGCGTGAACTGTGAGTACCTAGCCTTGATTGGATATGGCTCTTGAGCACCATTGCCACCATATATGCAGTGAGTTCCAAGACAAGTTAGAAAAATTAAGACTAGTATTACTAGCACAACATAAACTCATCCCTTCCAAGTTCTGTAGTTGATTCTCCCACCAAGAAGAGAACCCAACTTGTTCAAACTGGAAAACAGCGAACTTAGCTTATTACCTATGTTGGATTGTCTGGCCTCTAAATAAAGAAGATTCCCTATGAGGAACAAAGCAAGCAAGAGTTCAGAGGAGTAACTCTTTTATCATGCCCCAGGGGCGAAAGCCCCCATACCTCATTACACCCTAGTACGAAACATTTTTGGTATCAGAGTCAACGATCTCCATTCCGCCGGTTGCCATGACCTTGCCCATGGATCTAAGCACCCTGTCTCCCTGGCATACTTTCAACTATGGGCCAACTGCCATCCTTGCTGAATATCAGCTTGCAATTCCCGAGCTAGCAACCAGGTTGTGTTATCTTAAGACGTCAAAACCAGTCCCGCCGATGCCCTCAACGGCACTCTCCATGGGTGTTGCCACTAACACAAATAGTGGTGCCATTGCATGTGTGCAGGCACCATCATTGCAATCCGCTGCTGCACTCGTCATTGCATCTGCACCGGCACAAAAATCAGGCAGCCTATGGACTCACTGCCGCCATCTGCACATGCACTCATTGAGCCAGGCAGTGGTGCCATTAGTCTGCTCAACGATGTTGGAGATATACTAGTCCCTTCTTTTTTTGCGCATCGAGATATACTAGTTGTGACGACCAATAGGGGAGAATCAATCGCACAAGAGGGGAATTTGGGGAGGAGCAGAGGTAGGGGACGAGAGTAGGTAGGAGAAGGGGAGAGACCGAATTGACTTGTTCTTTCATTCGATACCCAGTACACCAGTGGCGGATCTAAAATCTTACCAATGTGGGGGCAAGCATGGGACATGGTGGTTGAACGGCACAAAAATGAGCATAATGTATATAAATATGCACTAGTAGTAAAAGTAAATTTGCAATTTTTTGTGGGGTCCGTGGCCCCCACCACCCCACCCCTAGATCCGCCACTGCAGTACACTGGAGAGGTTTGGCTAAGTACCCACACAAACGCTACCACTGGTTACAATGGGCCACAGCCGGCCCATGGACTCACTGGGCTCAGCCCGTACTACCCTTCTCCCTAATCAGTCCACCGCTCCGCAGTAGCAGGTGTGACAATTGCCCCCTCTTGAGCGGAAGCGTCGTCCTCCCAGATCGGTGCCGTAGGGTAGCGTTGCCTCAGAACTGTTCTTCCCAAGTTGCAGACGCGTCCGAGAGGGATGACCATTGTACTCGGACTTGCACGATGGAGGCGTTCCCTTTCTTGACCATGCGGCGCTCCAGGATAGCTTCCGGTACGAGTGTTGCAGCTGTGAGATCTGGTGTCTTGGGCAGTTCAGAGAATACTGGTGTTTAGTCTGGAGTGAACGGCTTCAGCTGGGACACATGAAAAACGTTGTGAATGCGACTGTCAAGTGGCAGAGTTAACCTGTACGCCATGGTGCCAATGCGTTGCTCCACTGGAAAGGGGCCAAAGAATTTGTAGGCCAATTTTGGACAGGGACGATTGGCCACTGTTGACTGAGCATAGGGTTGCAGTTTGAGCAGCACTTGTTCTCCCACGTTGAACATTCTCTCTGTGCGATGACGATCTGCTTTTTGCTTGCATCGGTTCTGAGCACGTGCCAATTGAGTATGCAGTCTGTCATTGTGTTGTGCCCATTCCAATTCTTTGTCTTTGCTGTCAGGCAGATTGGCTGAGATGTTGGGCAAACCACCCAAATTGGGTTCTTGACCATAAAGAGCTTTGAACGGTGAAGTATCGAGCGAGGAGTGATGAGTAGTACTATACCAGAATTCTGCAGTTGGAAGCCACTGGCGCCATTGTTTGGGGCTGTCATGTACAGCACATCGCAAGTACATCTCCAGACACTAATTAACCCGCTCACTCTGGCCATCCGTCTGTGGGTGGTACACCGTGGAATAGCTGAGCTTGGTACCTGCAGCCTCGAGTAGCCCTCGCCACATAGCACTGGTGAAGACGCGATCTCGATCTGATACGATTGAGTGAGGCACTCCATGTAGTTTGATAATGTTATCCCAAAATGCTCGAGCCACTGTTGCTGCAGAAAAGGGATGTCGAAGGGGGACAAAGTGGGCATACTTCGTAAAACGATCCACCACAACCATGATGACTTCGTAGCCCTCAGATGCTAGCAGTCCCTCGACAAAATCCATAGTGAGATCACGCCAAGGTTCAGTTGGTATGGGCAGCGGTTGCAACAAGCCTGGTGTCTTGAGATGCTCGTGCTTTGCATGTTGGCAGGTTGCACATTGACGCACAAAATCCTCCACCACCTGCTTCATGCCACGCCAAGCAAAGAGCTTCTTGATCCATTGATAAGTTGTTGTTACTCCAGAGTGGCCACCCACGGCGCTGGCATGGAAAGCACTGATCAGCTTGGTCTGTAGTGTTGTGTTAGCACCGATCCAAAGTCTGTCATGGAAGCGAATCACTCCTTGTCGTAACTCATAGCCTTGCTCATCTGGACCGCACAGAGCGAGCTGTTGCAACAAATCTTGGCTGTCGGCATCAGTTTCATATGAATTAGCAACCTCCTGTAGCCACTGTGGTTGGCACACTGACAGGGAGCAAATGCCCGACGCGGGACAAGACGTCTGCTGCGCCATTGTCGGTTCCACGCCGGTACTTGAAAGAAAATTGCAGTCCCACCATCTTCGACATAGCTTTGTGTTGGAGCTCCGTCTCGAGCTGTTGGTCACCGAGGTGACACAAACACTTGTGGTCAGTGACAATTACGAACGGAGCTCTCTGAAGATAAGCACGCCACTTGTCCACCGCCATCATCACCATGAGGAATTCCTTCTCGTAAATCGATAGCCATTGATTCTTTACTCCCAAAGCCTTGCTAAGGTATGCAACCAGGTGTCCGTCCTGTACCAGGACAGCGCCCACACCGGTGTCACAGGCGTCCGTCTCGATGGAAAAAGGGCGACTGAAATCCGGCAGAGCCAAAACCGGCGTGTTCACCATTGCCACTTTGAGCAGTTCGAATGCTGACTAAGCCTGGTTTGACCAGGGGAAGCCCTTTTTGGTGAGAAGCTGAGTAAGAGGCTTAGCCAGAATTCCATACCGTGGTACAAATTTTCGGTAGTAGCCAGTAAGACCAAGAAATCCGCGCAGCTCGGAGGCATTCGTTGGAGTCAGCCAAGCTCGCATGGCGCTCGTCTTGGTGGCATCTGTCGCCAAGCCCTCGCTGGAGATGACGTGTTCGAGATACTCGACGCAGGGCTGCGCGAACGAGCAGTTGGATTGCTTCGTGTATAATTGGTTCTGGCGCAGAATCGAGAAGACCGTGCGCAGATGTTCTTCATGCTCTGGAAGTGACTGAAGACCATAATATCATCCAAGAAGGTGACAGACATACTTGCGGTTCGGACCGGGGAAGACCGAATTCATCACACACTGGAAGGTGGGCGGTCCATTTGTGACTCCGAACGGCATGACACGGAATTGAAAATGGCCATGATGTGTTTTGAGTGCCGTCTTTTCCTCATCGCCTTCCCTCATTCTAATCTGGTGATAACCGGAGCGCAAATCGATCTTGGAGAAGAACGCAGCCCCAGCCAATTCATCCAGCAGCTCATCGATTATAGGAAGAGGAAACTTGTTCTTGGTGACTTGATTGAGACGTCTGTAATCCACACAAAACGCAACGTCCCATCTTTCTTCTTGACCAGCAAAACCGGAGCTGCAAATGGTCTCATACTGTGAGTAATTACTCCAGTTTTTAACATTTCACTGACTTGCCACTCTATTTCATCTTTTTGCAGCGGTGAGTACCAATATGGCCGACAGTTCGCCGGTGCAGCACCTGGTTCCAACGTGATAGCATGATCATATTGCCGATGCGGGGGAAGTTCAGTTGGTTCTCAAAAATGTCACTAAACTCCGTGAGCAGACGCTTAATTGTTGGCTTAATTGTTGGTGGAACTGGTGCCTCTGAATCTGTATTGGTTGGTGTCAA